GTAGGGATTGGGGTAGGGATGAAGTGGGTTGGGGTCGGGATCGAAGGCGAAGTGGGTTGGAGTAGGAATCGAGTGGGAGTCGAAATGGGTGGAGTCGGGGTCGGGAGCAAGGTCGGGATTTGGATGGGACGGGGATGGGATCAGGGCGGGAACAAACTAGAAGCGGGGTGGGATGAGAGTAGGAGGGGTCGGACTGAGATCGAGGAAAGGATAGGTTGGAATTGGGATTGAGGTCAGGATCGGTAGGGTGGGACCGAGGGATCGGGAGGGGGTCGGGATCGAGATCAGGACTAGGATGGGGGAGAGGTGGGATCGGGGTGGGAGCGGTGTACAACCGTGATGGGGTCGAGATGAGAAGAGGTTCGGAGAGGTTGGGATCGGCATGAGGTCGGGTCGGGCGCAGGATTACGGTCGGGATTGGGGTCGGAATTAGGGTGAGGTCGAGGTGTGATTGGATCGGGATCGAGGTCGGGGTCGGAATTCGGATGTGGACAAGCTGGGATCCGGTTGATGGGGTCGGGGTGGTGTCAGCGTGGGATTGGGCTGGGAGGGATCGGATGTTGGGAGAAGGGGGGGGACGTTGGTGTTATTATCCGGCTTATGGTCAGGGAATGAGTTGATGTGGGGGTGCTAGGGGGAAGGACAGGCGGGGTGTCGGTCGGAGGAGAGACTGTAGGATATGGCGATGGAGGTAGTGAGCCCTTGCTCGTGATAAGGAGTGATGGTTGAGGAGGGGGGGGAGTATGGTCAGTCGCCTAGGTGGATAGGGGGTGTCAGACCTCACGAATGTCGTGTGTTGAAGATGCAGACTTCCACTGAATCTTCTAGATCAGTCGTCCAGAGGCGTCTTTGCAGTAGTTTACGGGCATTCGTACATTGTCGATGAAGCTTGATCGAATCTTGATAACTCTAGACACATTCTCACTGCACACGCACGTGGCACTACCCGCCACGCCAGTATGGCTATGGCAGACCACAATGCCGACTTCGAGGAAGGTTCGTGATCTCCCGAAAGGGTATTGTTGTTCTTCACGATAAAGTTCGCCTCTTCATTCGGCGCCAACGAGGAACCTGACGTTCTGGGTGCGCGCCCAAGGCGCGCACGCGAAGCTCTACGTGCTAAGCCAGTGGAGCTATGGCTTACTGGTCGAGGCTTCGCGATGGCAGCCCGCGCTGCCGACTACGACAAGGGTGCGCGTTGTACAGGCGCTAAGCTAGCAAAGTGCTGCGCTCATCGAACGGCGCGGGCACGACCAATAATTTTTATTTCTTCGCCACATCCGCTGATGTGGCATTTAAGCCGAGGTGGAACTGCATTCTACTGTTGGTTGTGTCGAGGCAAAGACCGGTCATCATAAATGCACATCAGGTTGCCGGTGAGAAATCTGTGGTTGGGGGCAGCATTATGAGGTACGTTGCTTCCTTCCTTATCTACCCTCTTCATTGCTTCTTACCGTGAGGAAGTGAGTTATGTCTTGTGAGTCCTCTCAATGTGAGGTGTCACGAGCGCTCAACCTTGAGAGTCGACATTCTTCCTGGGCAGCAAGCTGGTGGGAGATGGGCGATGCCTCTGAAGGGCCCTGGATGAAGCACTCGGGTCACGATCACCATGCCAACCCGCTGGGACTAGTACACGTATGCTTTGCTGCAAGTCCTTGGTTCTGCGGCTGCGCAATAGAGGTCATGCAGGGCATGCCAACCCTTTGAACAGACGCTTACCAGACCGTCTCTAAATATTTATGGCGGGTACTCGGTGTTGATTCTGGTTGTGATCGTCGTCCTGTCTGCGACGTTAAATAATTCCTGAGGAGTTACGGGGGATCTCCTTAAATGCCTCCTGATCAGCCAAATCAAACCGCGTGTAAGGCTCGTTGCATGCGAGGATAAATAATGTGCAGGGGCTGGCAGGTTTGGCGTTGACTTGGGGCACAAGGGTGGGCTAGATTGCATACCTTTAGACACGTTGCTCAACCAGATGCCTAGTAACGTCGACACAAAGTGACTACTCAAGAGGGATACAGGGAAAGGGTTGGATTCTGGTAACTGTTTGTGGTGGCATTAGTCAGATAAACTGCCATCCAGCATACATCTCTGCAGGGTGCATTATTTTTATTTTATTATTATTTAGTTGTTACGGACTTGACTAACAACTGACAAACAACTGCAAATAGAGTAGTGTATTCTTTGCTGCATTGCAATCTGTATTAGAGTAATTTAAAAATAGATTTAATATTCCCTGTAGGATCTGACACTTGGTGACACCTAACCACCTAACTGTTTCTGTCCAGGCTGACCGAAGTTAGTTGTGTATCATAGTCAGTTGTATGTCATGCTGAGGTAGGATTCGGTGTGGATTCTAATTTAGATCACACACACTGTAGCTCATGAGTGATGCAAGCACTAGTGAGGAGGAGTTGTTAGTGGACGACCGTAGGACTACTCGTAGAACTACTCTCAGTCGACCTTTAACTTTCCTAAAGTTAGGTCCAGGAGACAAGAGGAGACTACGGAGAGAGGCTAGAGAGAGAACAGCGGCAAGAAGAGCGAGGGTGGTTGAGGCCAGTGCTAGGTCTAGGATTACAACTAGCACCGGTACGACCATGGGTACTTCCTCTACCATGTCGCAGGCCTCTTCACATGCCACTTCGTCAGGAGTTAGTCAGAGTGGTTCTCGAGATTCCATTAGCCAGAGTGCTGGCTTGCAAGTCAGCCAGCAGGCTCAACTCACGCCGGAGGATTATGAGATCCTCCAAGCTGAAGAACTTCAGGACGAGTTGCCCAGAGAGAAGAAGAAGAGCAATAATGAGAAAAGTTAGACTAGGGAGTAGATTGTAGGCACTGCGAAATTCGCTCCTGTGTGTGGCAGAGACCCAGGTTGTTCAGCAGGAACTGTTGGCTGAACTAGTGGCAGGCCAGAAACGAATTCTGGCTGCATTACAGGCTCCTCGTCCAGTGATCAGGCAGCCTCAGTTTGCTGTAGCTCCCCCTTCAGCTGCGGGTCCATCAGTGACGTCGTCGCCGGTAGGGCCTTCATTCTCACCTATGTTTGGCATGCCCCCTCCAGGTGGTTATGTGGCAACTAGTGGTCCGTTTCTTAGAATCTCAGTTGTACCATCGACGATAGTGGTTACTACAGTCCCACTATCAAGCCAGGCCCAGGTTAGTGTGCAGCAACCTGTTTCGATGGCTATGCAGCCACTGCAGCAATCTCCTGGGCCAATGCAGCCTATGCAGTGGATGTCCAAAATACCCTTGCTGAGTCCTAAGCCCTTCTCTGGCGACAGGAAGAAGGGTGAGGACTTGGATACCTGGGTGAGGACGGCGCCCACCTATGTGAGGCTCAAACTTACCAGGCCGGAGCAAGAAGTTGTAGTAGCTGCCTCCTTTCTAGAGGGGTCAGCAGCTCGCTAGTTGAATGGCCTAGTGTAGCAACAGGGCTATGGTCAGAACTTCGATGCCTGGACCCAGGCCCAGACATTGGAAGAGTTCGTACGGTCCGTGTACAATAGGTGGCATGACCCTCGCGGGGCCCCAAAGGCCACAGACGCAATCAATAGTCTTTGTGTCAGAAGCTATAAGAATGTTAGAGAGCTCACAAATACCGTAGAACGTCTGCTCGTGGTACCTGGTGTGCGCTATGACCAGCCGGTACTCCTCACGGATTACCTTAGATGTCTGCCTTCAGAGGTTAGGACAAAGCTGCTAGACGAGGCCTATGTCGAACAACACAACTTCGCTTCCTTCAGCAAGAAGGCCTTAGACATAGAGGCAAAGTTGGGATCTGCGCATCAGAGTCAAGGAGATGGTAGGAAGAAGAGACTACCCCAGGACTGGAAGAAGAAAGGTCAACTAATATTCGTCAATCACGATGGTCAGGCGAGAGAAATTGACGACTTCCCAGACCTTGGGAAGGAGACAGAGCACGATGGGGCCAGTGAGACTTCGGATGGGGGAGTCATGGCACCCATCAAAGAAAAGGCTAGGGGGACCGGGAAGAAGAAGGTAGGCCGGTCTACGGGTCAGGGCGACCAAGGAACGCCCGCATGGGTGAAACTTGGTTTAGAGTATGAGGTGTGGAGGGACCGAGTCGCTAGGGGCACGCGCATGAACTGTGGCAACTATGGCCACACGTCCCGAACGTGACGAGGCAAGAAAGTCCTAACGAGGATAGCCTCACCAACGGTGGTCGGACTATCTTCGAACCCTGGCAATGCTTTTGCGAGCACTTCGCAGGGAAACACCTCGGCGCAGTAGGAGTTTTAGCCGCTCTTACTCGCGCTGAAGTGGTAACGTTACCAACACATTCAGACCCACCGACGCTCTGTTCGAGAGATGTGTTTGAGGCCCTAGAAGAGTTAGAGACTGAGTGGTCAGGGAAGGACCCCAGAGACTCTTAGGCGATGATCAGTAGAGGTCCAGAGGGTGAACATTTTGTGGTAGAGGTTGTTGCAGGTAGCCGTAAAGTTGCTGCCTTCGCAGACATAGGCTCTACACGAAACTTCATCAGTCGTGCTTGTGTGGATAGATTGCGCTTAGGGGACCAAGTGCAGTGGCTTAGCAGAACTGTAGCTTCTACGCTAGCCAACAAGCACCAAATGATTGTTAAAGACTATGTCAAGGACGTAGTCTATTCCTTCTCTTATGGAGGAGGGGAAGTGAGACATAAAATCTCATTCCTCGTCAGTGACGAACTGCCCTTCGATATGCTACTAGGCATGTACTACCTCGAGGTCGCGCAACCTCAGTTTGACTGGGATAGGAAGGTGTTGATACACAAGTTGCCAAATGGTAGGACCGTTAGACTGCAGAAGTATAAGGCTAGCAGTCTAGTGGAGAACTACGGCTGCATGTGTGCTTCTCTTTCTATAACTACTACAAACAGAATCGCGAGGAGGGCATGTATCTAGTTTTTGTGTCTGAGAAAAGGGAGGCCGTTAAAACACCCCCAGAGATAGGATCAGTCGTCGCAACATATTCAAACCTTTTTTAGGAGCCCACAGGCGTCGTAGAAAGGGAGGTGGTCCATGCAATAGAGGTTGTCCCAGGTAGTAAGGTACCTAGAGGACGAATCTATAGGATGTCTCCTACGGAGTTGGATGAGCTCCGCCGCCAGCTCAAGGAGCTCACGGAAAAGGGATGGATTCAGCCTAGTACCTCCCCTTACAGTGCGCCAGTCTTATTTGTCCCAAAGAAGGGAGGTACCCTGAGGATGTGCATTGACTATAGGGGCCTCAATGCCCTCACCGTTAAGAACGCGGAGCCCCTACCCCACATCAACGACCTCTTGGATAGAGTGCAGGGATGTCGGTACTTCACCAAGATAGATCTGAAGTCCGGATACCATCAAATTGCCATTAGACCTGAGGACCAGCACAAAACTGCATTTCAGACCAGGTACACTCTGTACGAGTTTGTGGTGATGCCCTTTGGCCTAAGCAATGCACCTGGTACGTTCCAGCACGCGATGAACAAGATATTTCATTATTACTTAGGCAAGTTTATCGCCGTGTACCTCAACGATATTCTTATCCTTAGTAGGACTGTAGAGGAGCACGCTGAGCACTTGAAAATAGTGTTAGGTCTCCTAAGACAGCACCAGTACAAGGTTAACTTGGAGAAATGCGAGTTCGGTCGCACCAAGGTCTTGTACTTGGGTCATGAAATCTCAGCGGATGGATTGAGGTCGGATGATGCTAAGGTGGCCAGTATAAGTGACTGGCCCGGATCTCAGACTGTTATTGAGGTCAAATCGTTTTGGGGGATGACGGGCTACTATCGTTCGTTTGTAAAAAACTGTAGTACTATAGCTTCCCCATTAACAAATCTAACTCAACTTGACACCCCTTGGGAGTGGACTGAAGAGTGTGAGGCAGCCTTCAGGAAACTGAAGTACGCTTTGACTCACTATGAAGTCCTCAAACTTCCTGATTCTGATAAACCCTTTGTTGTGACCACAGACGCCAACCAATATGGCATAGGCGCGGTCCTTGCGCAAAAGGAGGGGCCAAAGTTGAGACCGATTGAGTATATGAGTAAAAAATTGCCATCTCAGAAATTAGCCAGGTCTACTTATGAATGTGAGTTCTATGCCCTGTACCGAGCGTTGGTCCACTGGAGACACTATCTCCTTGGCAGATTTTCTATGTAAGATCTGACCATGCGACCTTGCCCTGGATCAAAACACAGTCGGTACTCTCAGACGCACTCAAAAGATGGATACAAGTGATAAACATGTATGACTATCAACTTGATCCTATCAAAGGAGAGTACAACAAGGTGGCGGATGCACTATCTTGACGGGCAGATTACCTGGGCGCGCTAGTAACTGAATTTGGCATATCTAATGATTTGACTCGATCGTTGGTGGAAGCCAATCAGCAAGATCTAGTTATGTCAGAGATCATTCGTAAATTCCAAGCAAAGTACAAAGTGACTTTGGATGAATTTACAATGGTGGATGGCTTGCTGTTTCTTGAAAAGGCAGGGAATAAAAGATTGTGTGTGCCTAATAAAGAGTATTTGCGTAGTTTGTTTCTAGGCGAGTGTCACGATGCAACTGGACATTTTGGTTATAAAAAGACTTCAGCTAACCTAGTGCAGAAATTTTGGTGGCCCACTATGATGCAAGATGCGAAAAAGTACGTTGAAACTTGCCAGGTTTGCCAAAGGGACAAACCTAGGACTCAGGCTCCGCTTGGGCTTATTAAGCCCTTGTCGATTCCTGAAGGTCCTGGCCAGAGTGTGCCCATGGACTTCATGGATACTCTCGTGACCAGTAAGTCTAGACAAAGGCACATCTTCGTGATAATGGACCGCTTTACTAAGTATGCAAGACTTATCGTTATGCCTGAAACTGCTAAAACTGACTATGTCATCAAACTGTTTCTGGATAGCTGGGTCAGGGATTTTGGACTACCTACGTCGATTGTAAGTGACAGGGATGTAAGGTTTACCAGCGAATTGTGGCAGGCGACAGCTGAACAGATGGGTACCAAGCTCCAAATGACGTCAGGGAACCACCCCGAGTCAAATGGTCAGGCAGAACAGATGAACCGGATAGTACAACACCTGCTTCGGCATTATATTAAGCCAAGTCAGGATGACTGGGATGAGAAGTTACCTCTCGTCGCCAGCTTGTACAACAATGCAGTGCACAGTACTACTGGTATGACTCCCAACCAGCGGCACCTTGGTTGGAAACCCAAAACTGCACTTGACTTTCTATTACCAGAAAGGCAACCCACTGCAGCACCTGGCAGCATAGAGTTTGCTGTTAATTATGAACAGATGCTGCGGCAGGCCGTTGAACATATTAGAAAGTCTCAAGATGCTATGATCGCATCTGAGAATAAACATAAACAACCCTCAAACTTTCAGGTAGGTGATGGAGTCTGGGTAAAGTCATCTGAACTAGGCCAGGAGTTGGGGATTTCACGCAAACTGATGACACAGTACTTTGGGCCCTGGTAGATCTTAGACATTGTAGGGGATCAACCGGATGGGCCTTCATACGTGATTCGCATTCCTGCACACTTGCGTACTTACCCTGTTTTCCATGCATCCAAGTTGGCACCTTTCGCTGCCACAGATCAGTTTCCCTCTAGGAGATCAACGCTGCCCCCAACCATGGACGGACACGTGGACATTGACGATATCATCGAGCACAAGCTGATGCTTGTGCCCAAACCTCCAGGAAGGGGACGACCACCAAAGCCACAAATGCAATATCGAGTGCGGTTCAGAAATCACATTGATCCTCAAGAAGACCGGTGGTTCACAAGAGAGGAATTAATGAAGACTGCTCCTCAAATTATCTCAAGTTATGAAAGAAAGCTGAAAGGGAAGCAGCCTGTTATATAAGAGCTTCTCATAGGACTATCGAAGAAAAGGAGGAGGGAATGCGCCCCTGCTACAAATGTGCCCGCACAGTGAAGGTGAGCCTAACAAATCACGAGAGGCCCTTGGCTGTCAATTTCGTATTTGGGGTCCAGGCAGTTTCGCCGCGCCAGTTGGTTGAAGGAAAACACGGGCCAAGCAGCGTGGAAAATCCCAGGCCTTCTAGGCCTTTCC